TTTTCCTCTAAAAATCCCTACCAAACACACTCTAGAAAAGGTTTCACTTCAACGCTGGAAGATGGAAATTATATACCTTTTTTTTTTTAAAGTTCGACGTGTTAGGATTTCAAAGGGCAAGCAATTTGAGAGCTTTAGACAAAATCATCGAGTGAGCATTTTTAACACCAATAATAAGAAAACTATTGAAGTGAACAAACCATTCAAAAATTTTGTACAAGGATTGCTGATTCTTATTGAAATTAATATTTGTTGATGAATTAGATAGAATTATCAACAGTGATATCATTTGCGATCATGATTAATGACACTTTTGGGAATCACTCGTGTTGTTTCAATCATGATGAGAAGCCTTTAGTGATTGTCGACGGTATGAATTTTGCCTGTTCTTATTAAAATCAATTTATGTTGATGATTTAGACAAAATTACATAAAACGATAAATATGATCATCATTAATAAACTTTTGTCACCGATGAAAAGTCTCGGTGTCACTCACAAAATTTTATTCTTTCTACATTATTTATTTTTTATAAGACATTGCGTATAATTTAAATACTATTTTTATGATTTCTTTATAATACTATCGACTTATTTTTTGACTTTTATTTTGTTCCCGATGAATTTTTTTGTGAGTATTGAAATTTAGAATTTCATTAATTTATTTATTGGCAAGATTTTTTTTCTTGATAAATTAAATTTTTTATTTATGCTTTTAATATTTCTATCTAAAAATCGTTTCTGATTTAAAATATTTTTTAAATGTAATTATTCACCTAACAATTTTTTTCAAAGAAAAAACAAAGGCAAAAATATGTAATTTTTAAAATTGCGAGTGGCAAAGTGTCCTTGAGAGTCCTTTGGAATCCTTTTTCCCCATTTATATTTGAGTTACCGTGATTTGTCTCTACTTAAGCGTAAGTTGTGTTATTTTTCCAAAAGATTTCACAAGCCGCTTAGTATTGGCTTTCTAAGTGTTAAGTTATGAAATCTAATTATTTTATTAAGGATAGTTTAAGAATTTGTGTTCCTGTAAAATTCGTCTTAGGAATTTGGGTTCTTGTAAATTTCAAAATTTTCTTATAGATAAGGAATCTTCATTAAACTTTTAATAATCATCTAAAAAGAGAGAAATAAGGGTTAGAATTTGCGTGTTTTTGAGTGTTTATTTTTCTTTCTGCGAATTTATTGCTCTTGGTGAAATACAATTAGCGCTTTTAATTTTCAATAATTAGTATCTTAACTTTTGATTTTGATTGAGAACAATTATTGGCCAAGAAGGAACGCAATTGGGGATACGCAAGTGTGATGGTATGAATTTTGCGTTTTGGAGATCCGATTGACATTGTTGAAGAACATTGGTCACAACAAGGCTGTGGAGAAAACTATGACGGATTAGGTGAAAGTAAGATCTGATATGTACGAGAAACTAACTGTGTGTAATAAGGTATATCTGATGGAAAAATTATTTAATTTGAAGATAGTTGAAGGTGATCTAGAAGTATAACATCTCAATAAATTAAATACAATTATCCATCAGTTGGTCTTAGATGAGATTAAATTCAATGATGAGGTATGTGCCTTAATTTTATTGACATCACTATCGAATAGTTGGGAATCTATGAGAGTTGCGGTCAGTAACTTTATAGGCAATGCGAACAAAAATTCGGTAATTTTCGTAATACTATTCTTGTTGAGGAAGTCCATAAAAGAGATTCTCGAGAAGTCTCGTCATTGAATTATGTCCTAAATGTCGAGAACAAACATAAGGGTTTCAAGAAAAATTACAATGAAGGCAACAATGGGAAGTGGAAGAATGATATGAGCAAGTCTAGGTCTAGAAAGAATGTGGAATTGTGGCAAGACAGACCACATGAAAAAGAATTGCAAAGCACCAAACAAGAAAGAAGAAAAGAATAACGACAATGCTAATGCTATGATTGAAGAGGTACAAGATGCTTTACTCTTGTCAGTTGACAGTCTTATTGATTCTTGGATGATGGATTCAGGAGTTTTTTTCACATCACTGCACATCGTGTGATTACGGAGAACTGTATTGTTGGAAATTATGAAAATGTATATCTTGATAATGAAGAGCCTATAGATATTATTGGTATAGGTAACGTCGGATTGATGATGTCAAACTAGTATGTATGAAAAATTCATAAGGTGAAGCATCTACTTAGGCTGATGTGTAATCTGATCTCAGTTGGCTTGATGAAAAAGGTTATACTGTGATGGTATTTGGAGAGTCACTGAGGGAGCCTTGGTTGTTATTCTAGGAAATAAATTTGGAGCTCTTTACATCGCTTCTAATTGTAGAGACATGATTGCAGTTATCGATTCAACTGCTAGTTTTGATTTGTAGCACTATATTTTGGGACATATGAGTGAAAAATGAATAAAAGTAAATTAGTTTAAAAGTGAAGCTACAAGGGTTTAGATTTTTTGAACATAATTTGTGTGAAGACTGCATCTTCGACAAATAGGAAAATGGTTAGTTTCTCTAAAATTAGAAAGGAGTCAAAAGCTGCAAAATTGGAGCTAATTCATACATATGTGTGGAGACCATCAACTGTTACTTCCATTGGAGGTTTCAATTATTATGTAACATTTATCGATGGCGTAAGAAGAAAGTTATTTG